GCACTCCATTGACAAGTATACCTGTCAGCAGCACACTGCAGGCCAGTTCCCAGGCTAGCACCCTTTCAACAACTCTTGTTGACACAAGCTCACCGGTGACGACTTCAAATGCAGCCAGTTCATCTCCTAGAACTTCTGAAGATATCAGCATGCCAACTTCAACTCCTCGTGAAGGAATAACTCCATTAATAAGTATGACAGTGGGTACCACACAGGTGGCCAGTTCTGAGGTTAGAACCATTTCAACAACTCCTGTTGACACCAGCACACCCTTGACCACTTCAACAGTAGCCAGTTCATCTTCTACAACTCTTGAAGATATGAGCATGCCAACCTCAACTCTAGTCAAAGGAAACACTCCATTAACAAGTATGACAGTGGGCACCACGCAGGTGGCAATTACTGAGGCCTAGCACCTTTTCAGCAACTCCTGTTGACTCAGCACCTGTGATCACTTCTGCAAGTCAATTCATCTGCCACAATGGCAAGGTACCACCATGCCAACGTCACCTCCCCAGTGAAGGAAGCACTCCATTGACAAGTATCTCCACTCCAGCTGCATGCACTGTCCAGTTCTGAGGCCAGCACGCACGGAACAACTCCTGTGTGTACCAGCACACCTGTGACCATTTCTACTGCAGCCAGTTCATCTCATTCCAAGTGCTACAGGGTACAGCATCCCAACCTCAACTCCTCGTCAGGCACTCCAGTAACAATTCATAACATTGGGCACCACACCGGTGGCCAGTTCTGAGCTACCACCCTTTCAGCAGCTCTGTTGATTCCAACGTGCTGTGACCACTTCTATTCAAGTCAGTTCTTCTAGTACAATTGCTGAAGCTACTAGCATGCCAACCTCAATTCCCTGAGTGAAGGAAGCCTCCATTAACAAGTATGACAGTGGGCACCACGCAGGTGCTTCCAGTTCTGAGAGCTAACACCGCTTTCAACAACTCCTGTTGGCTTACCAGCACACCCTTGACCACTTCAACTGTAGCCAGTTCATCTCCTACAACTGCTGAAGGCACGAGCATGCCATCCTCAACTCCTAGTCAAGGAAACACTCCATTATCAAGTATGATAGTGGGCACCACGCAATTGTCCAGTTCTGAGGCTGGCACCTTTTCAGCAACTCCTGTTGACTCCAGCACCCCTGTGATCACTTCTACTGGAAGTCCACTTCCATCTGCTACAACTGGTGAAGGTACCAGCATGCCAACCTCTCCTCCTAGTGGAAGCAGCCACCCCATTAACAAGTGTGCCTGTCAGCACCACCTCACTGTCAGTTCTGAGGCCTAGCAACCTTTTACCAGCAACTCCTGTTGTCACCGGCTCAACTGTGATCATTTCTACTCAAGCCACTTCAGCTACAACTGCTGAAGGTACCAACATAGAAAACCTCACCTCCCATTGAAGGAAGCACTCAGGAACAATTATGCCTGTCAGCACCATGCTGCCTGCCAGTTCTGAGGCCAGCACCCATGAAACAGCTTACTGTTGACAGCAGCATACCTGTGACCATTTCTACTGCAGCCAGTTCATCTCATTCAAGAGTGCAGGGGGTACCAGCATGCCAACCTCAACTCTTAGTCAGGAAGCACTCAGTAACAATTACTTGACATTAGGCACCACACGGTGGCCAGTTTGTGCAAAGAGGCTACCACCTTTTCAACAACTCCTGCTGACTTTCAAATATTGCTGTGACCACTTCCAGTCAGTTAGTTCTTCTAGGACAATTGCTGAAGCTACTAGCATGCCAACCTCAATTCCACAGTGAAGGAAGCACTCCATTGACAATTATGCCTCTCAACACCACGCCAGTGGCAGTTCTGAGGCTAACACCCTTTCAACAACCTCTGTTGACACGAGCAAACCTGACATCATTATACTGAAGCCACTTCACCACCTACAATTGCTGAAGGGTACCAGCAGGCCAATCTCACCTCCCAGTGAAGGAAGCACTCCCATTCACAAGTATGCCTGTCAGCACCACACAGGCCAGTTCTCAGGCTAGCACCATTTCAACAACTCTTGTTGACACTAGCTCACCGGTGACGACTTCAACTGCAGCCAGTTCATCTCCTAGAACTTCTGAAGATACCCAGCATACCCAACCTCAACTCCTCGTGAAGGAAGCACTCCCATTAAAAGTATGATGGGTACCACGCAGACAGCCAGTTCTGAGGCTAGAACCATTTCAACAACTCCTGTTGACACCAGCACACCCTTGAGCACTTCAACAGTAGACAGTTCATCTTCTACAACTGCTGAAGATATGAGTATGTAACCTCAACTCCTAGTCAAGGAAACACTCCATTAACAAGTATGACAGTGGGCACCACGCGGGTGTCAGTACTGGGGGCTAGCCCTTTTCAACAGCTCCTGTTGACTCCAGCACCCCTGTGATCACTTCTACTGAAGTCAATTCATCTGCTACAACTGGCAAAGGTACCACCATGCCAACGTCACCTCCCAGTGAAGGAAGCACTCCATTGACAAGTATCTCCATTCAACTTCCACGCCACTGTCAGTTCTGAGGCCAGCACGCATGGAACAGCTCCTGTTGACACCCAGCACACCTGTGACCATTTCTACTGCAGCCAGTTCATCTCATTCCAAGTGCTGAGGTACCAGCATCCCAACCTCAACTCCTCGTCAAGAAGCACTCCAGTAACAATTATAACATTGGGCACCACACGGTGGCAGTTCTGGAGCTACCACCCTTTCAACAACTCCTGTTGGTTCAACATTACTGTGACCACTTCTATTCAAGTCAGTTCTTCTGGTATAATTGCTGAAACTACTAGCATACCAACCTCAATTCCTAGTGAAGGCCTCCATTAACAAGTATGACAGTGGGCACCACGCGGGTGTCCAGTTCTGAGGCTAACACCCTTTCAACTCCTGTTGACACCAGCACACCCTTGACCACTTCAACTGTAGCCAGTTCATCTCCTACAACTGCTGAAGGCACAGGCATGCCATCCTCAACTCCTAGTCAGAAACACTCCATTATCAAGTATGATAGTGGGCACCACGCAGGTGGCCAGTTCTGAGGCGCTTTTAGCACAGCAACTCCTGTTGACTCCAGCACCCCTGTGATCACTTCTACTGAAGTCACTTCATCTGCTACAACTGGTGAAGGTACCAGCATGCCAACCTCTCCTCTGAGTGAGCAACCACCCCATTAACAAGTGTGCCTGTCGCTACCTCACTGTCCAGTTCACAAGGGCTAGCAACCTTTCAGCAACTCCTGTTGTCACCGGCTCAACTGTGATCATTTCTACTCAAGCCACTTCAGCTACAACTGCTGAAGGTACCAGCATGAAAACCTCACCTCCCATTGAAGGAAGCACTCCAGGAACAATTATGCCTGTCAGCACCATGCTGCCTGCCAGTTCTGAGGCCAGCACCCATGAAACAACTGCTGTTGACAGCAGCATACCTGTGACCATTTCTACTGCAGCCAGTTCATCTCATTCAAGTGCTGAGGGTACCAGCATGCCAACCTCAACTCTTAGTCAGGAAAGCACTCCAGTAACAATTATGACATTTAGGTACCACACGGTGGCCAGTTCTGAGGCTACCACCTTTTCAACAACTCCTGCTGACTCAAATATTGCTGTGACCACTTCCAGTCAGGTTAGTTCTTCTGGGACAATTGCTGGAAGCTGCTAGCATGCCAACCTCAACTCCTCGTGAAGGAAGCACTCCATTATGTAATTATGACAGTGGGCACCACACAGGTCGCCAGTTCTGAGGCTAGAACCATTTCAACAACTCCTGTTGGCACCAGCACCTGGAAGAACGCCCCGGCAGTTGAACGGTTCATCTTCTACAACTGCTGAAGATATGAGCATGCCAACCTCAGCTCCTGGTCAAGGGAAGCACTCCATTAACAAGTATGACAGTGGGCACCACGCAGGTGTCGAGTACTGAGAACTAGCACCTTTTCAACAACTCCTGTTGACTCCAGCACCCCTGTGATCCGCTTCTGCTGAAGTCGGTTCATCTGCTACAACTGGTAAAGGTACCACCATGTAACCTCACCTCCTAGTGAAGAAAGCACTCCATTGACAGAGTATGCCCGTCAGCACCACGCCATGTGTCAGTTCACAGGCCAGCACACATGGAACAAGTCCTGTTGACACCAAAACACACTGTAGCCAATTTCTCTTTGTAGTAGTTCGTCTCATTCCAAGTGCTGAGGGGGTACCAGCATGCCAACCTCAACTCCTCATCAGGCTTCTCAGTAACAAATTATGACATTGGGCACCACACCGGTGGCCAGTTCTGGGAACTACCACCCCTTTCAACAAACTCTGTTTGATTCCAACATTGCTGTGACCACTTCTACTCAAGTCAGTTCTTCTAGGACAATTGCTGAAGCTACTAGCATGCCACCAACCTTTCAATTCCTAGTGAAGAGCACTCCATTAACAAGTGTGACAGTGAGCACCACGCAGGTGGCCAGTTCCAAGGCTAGCACCCTTTCAGCAACTCCTGTTGACACCAGCACACCCTTGACCACCTCAAGTGTAGGCAGTTCATCTTCTACAACTGCTGAAGATGAGCATGCACCAACCTCAGCTCCCTAGTCAAGGAAACACTCCATTAACTGGGCACCACGCAGGTGCTCAGTTCTGGAAGCTAGCACCTTTTCAACAACTCCTGTTGGCTCAGCACCCCTGTGATCACTTCTACTGAAGTCAGTTCATCTGCTACAACTGTGAGAGTACCACCATGCCAGCCTTACCTCCTAATGAGCACTCCATTAGCAAGTATGCCTGTCAGCACCATGCCACTGTCAGTTCTGAGGCTAGCAACCTTTCAGCAACTCCTGTTGTCACCGGCTCAACTGTGATCATTTCTACTCAAGTCAGTTCAGCTACAACTGCTGGGGTATCCAGCATGCTCACACCTCCCCATTGAAGGAAGCACTCAGGGACAATTATGCCTGTCGGCACCATGCTGCCTGCCAGTTCACAGAGCCAGCACCCATGAAAAAAGCTGCTGTTGACAGCATACCTGTGACCATTTCTACCTTCCACCGCCGTCGTACAAGTGGTGAGGATCTGACATGCCAACCTCAACTCTTAGTCAGAAGCACTCCAGTAACAATTGTGACATTAGGCACCACACCGGTTGCCAGTTCTGAGGCTACCACCCTTTCAACAACTCCTGCTGACTCAAATATTACTGTGACCACTTCCAGTCAGGTCAGTTCTTCTAGGACAATTGCTGAAGCTACTAGCATGCCAATCTCAATTCCTAGTGAAGGAAGCACTCCGTGGCTCAAATTAATGCCTCTCAACACCACACACATGATGGCCAGTTCCTCAAAGAGCTAGCACCCTTTCCAACAACCTCTGTTGACACGAAAACAAACCTATCATCACTTCTACTGAAGCCACTTCACCTCCTACAATTGCTGAAGGTACCAGCAGGCCATCCTCACCTCAGTGAAGGGAAGCAGTCCATTCACGAGTATACCTGTCAACACCACACTTCAGGCCAGTTCTCAGGCTAGCACCCTTTCAACAACTCCTGTTGACACCAGCACACCCTTGACCATTTCAAGTGCAGCCAGTTCATCTCCTAGAACTTCTGAAGCTACCAGCATGCCAACCTCAACTCCTCGTGGAGAAGCACTCCATTAACAAGTATGACAGTGGGCACCATGCAGGTGCCAGTTCTGAAACTAACACCCTTTCAACTACTCCTGTTGACTTTAGCACACCCTTGACCACTTCAACAGTAGCCAGTTCATCTCCTACAACTGCTGAAGGCACAAGCATGCCAACCTCAACTCCTAGTCAAGCCTCCATTAACAAGAGTATGACGAGTGGGCACCACGCGGGTGTGGGATTACGAGGCTAGCACCTTTTCAACAACTCCTGTTGACTCCAGCACCCCTGTGATCACTTCTACTGAAGTCAGTTCATCTGCTACAACTGGTAAAGGTACCACCATGCCAACCTCACCTCCTAGTGAAGGAAGCAGTCCACTGACAAGTATCACATATCAGCACACGCCATTGTCCAGTTCTGAGGGCCAGCATGGAACCAAGTCCTCGGCCACCAGCATACCTGTGACCATTTCTACTGCAGCCCAGTTCATCTCATTTCAAGTGCTGAGGTACCAGCATGTAACCTCAACTCCTCGTGAAGGAAGCACTCCATTAGCAAGTATGACAGTGGGCACCCGCGCGGGTGGCCAGTTCTGAGGCTAACACCCTTTCAACAACTCCTGTTACACCCAGCACACCTGTGACCACTTCAGCAAACCAGTTCATCCTCTACAACTGCCTGAAGGTACCCGGCATGCCAACCTCAACTCTCAGTCATGGAGAAGCACTCCATTAAAGTATACCTGTCAGTACCACATTTGCTGGCCAGTTCCGGAGTTGGCACTTTTGAAACCACTCCTGTTGACTTCAACACCCCTGTGACCACTTCTGCTGAAGCCATCATCTGCTACAACTGGCAGGTACCAGCATGTCAACCTCATCTCCCTAGTGAAGGAAGCACTCAGTAACAAGTATGCCTGTCAGCACCACGCTGCTGGTCAATTCTGAGGCTAGCACCTTTCCAGCAAGTCCTGTTGGCTGGCACACCTGTGACCACTTCAGCTGAATCCAGTTCTTCCCCTACAACTACGAGTTACCAGCATACCAACCTCGACTCCTAGGCAAGGAAGCACTCCATTGACAAATTATACCTTTCAGCACCAGTCGGCATCCAGTTTTGGGGCTAGCACCCTTTCAACAACTCCTGTTGGCTACCCAGCACACCTGTCACTACTTCCTCTGAAGCCAGTCCATCTCCTGCAACTGCTGGAGGTACCAGCATGCCAATCTCACCTACCAGTGAGGGAATCACTCCATTGACAGGTATGCCTTTGTTACCACGCCAGTGGCCAGTTCTCGACCTAGCACTCTTTCAACATCTCCTGTTAACACGTCAGGCCTGTGACCACTTTTACTGAAGCTAATTCATCTCCTTCAAGTGCTGAAGGTACCAGCATGTCAACCTCAACTCCTACTGGAGAAAGCACTGGATTAACAAATTATTACTGTCAACCCCACGCCAGTGACATTTCTGAGGCTAGCACCATTTCAACAACTCCTTTTGGCTCCGAAACTCTTGTTACCACTTCTAGTCAAGCCAGTTCATCTCCAGCAACTCTTCAGTTCACCACTATTCTTATGTCTACTCCAGAGTGAAGAAGCACTTTATTAACAACTATACGCTCATGTACATATCACCAGTTTCGAGGCTGCACACACCTTCCACACCTTCTGTTTGACACCAGCACCTGTGACTACTTCTACTCAGGCTAGTTCAACTCCTACAGCTCTGAACTTATGCCATACCAATGCTCAGCTCCTAGTGAAGGAAACCTCAATAACAATTATGCCTGTCAGTACCACATCGGTGACCCTTCGGATCCTAGCACACCTTCAGCTCCTGTTGACTCCAGCACACCTCTGACTACTTCTATCGAAGTCAGTTCATCTCCAACAATTCCTGAAAGTACCAGTATGCCAATCTCGGCTCTAGTGAAGGAAGCACTCCATTAACAACTATTCCTGAAAGCACCACACGTGCTTATTAGTTCAGGCAGCATGCATTCCAGCACACTGTTGACAGCAGCACACCTGTGACCACTACTACCCCAGTCTAGTTCATCTCCTACAACTCCTGAAGGTACCACTTGTACCAATCTCGACTCCTAGTGAAGGAAGCACTCCATTAAAAACTCTTTCTGTTAGCACCACACATGTGACCAGTTCTGCGGGCAGCACTTTCCTAGTGAAGGAAGCACTCCATTAACAACTATTCCTGTCAGCACCACACGTGTGACGAGTTCTGGGGACAGCATGCTTTCAACACCTTCTGTTGGCACCAGCACACCTGTGACCACTTCTACCCACATCAGTTCATCCCCTACAACTCCTGAAGGTACTAGTATGGCCACCTCAACTCCTAGTGAAGGAAGCACTCCATTAACAACTATTCCTATGAGCACCACACCTGTGACCAGTTCTGCGGGCAGCACGCTTTCAACACCTTCTGTTGACATCAGCACACCTGTGACTACTTCTATCCAAGTCAGTTCGTCTGCTACAACTCCTGAAGGTACCAGTATTCCAACCTCCATTCCTAGTGAAGGAAGCACTCCATTAACAACTATTCCTGTCAGCACCACACGTGTGACCAGTTCTGCGGGCAGCATGCTTTCAACACCTTCTGTTGGCACCAGCACATCTGTGACCACTTCTACCCACGTCAGTTCATCTGGTACAACTCCTGAAGGTACCAGTATGGCCACCTCAACTCCTAGTGAAGGAAGCACTCCATTAACAACTATTCCTGCCAGCACCACACGTGTGACCAGTTCTGAGGGCAACACCCTTTCAACACTTTCTGTTGATACCACCACACCTGTGACCACTTCTACCCATGTCAGTTCATCTCCTACAACTCCTGAAGTCACCACCATGCCAATCTCTACTTCTAGTGAAGGAAGCACTCCATTGACCACTATTCCTGTCAGCACCACACGTGTGACCAGTTCTCAGGGTAGCACCCTTTCAACACCTTCTGTTGACACCAGCACACCTGTGACCACTTCTACCCAAGTCAGTTCATCTCCTACCACTCCTAAAGTCACCACGATGCCAATCTCAACTCCTAGTCCACGAAGCACTCCATTAACCACTATTCCTGTCAGCACCACACGTGTGACCAGTTCAGAGGGCAGCACCCTTTCAACACCTTCTGTTGACACCAGCACACCTGTGACCACTTCTACCCAAGTCAGTTCATCTCCTACAACTCCTGAAGGTACCAGTATGGCAACCTCGACACCTAGTGAAGGAAGCACTCCATTAACAACTATTCCTGTCAGCACCACACGTGTGACCAGTTCTGCGGGCAGCAGGCTTTCATCACCTTCTTTTGACACCAGCACACCTGTGACTACTTCTATTCAAGTCATTTCATCTGCTACAACTCCTGAAAGTACCAGTATTCCAACCTCGATTCCTAGTGAAGGAAGCACTCCATTGACAACTATTCCTGTCAGCACCACACATGTGACCAGTTCTGAGGGCAGCACGCTTTCAACAACCTCTGTTTACACCAGCACACCTGTGACCACTTCAACTCAAGTCAGTTCATCTCCTACAACTCCTGAAGGTACCAGTATGGCAACCTCGACTCCTAGTGAAGGAAGCACTCCATTAATAACTATTCCTGTCAGCACCACACGTGTGACCAGTTCTGCGGGCAGCATGCTTTCAACACCTGCTGTTGGCACCCGCACACCTGTGACCAATTCTACCCACGTCAGTTCATCTCCTACAACTCCTGAAGGTACCAGTATGGCCACCTCAACTCCTAGTGAAGGAAGCACTCCATTAACAACTATTCCTGTGAGCACCACACCTGTGACCAGTTCTGCGGGCAGCACGCTTTCAACACCTTCTGTTGACACCAGCACACCTGTGACTACTTCTATCCAAGTCAGCTCATCTGCTACAACTCTTGAAGGTACCAGTATTCCAACCTCGATTCCTAGTGAAGGAAGCACTCCATTAACAACTATTCCTGTCAGCACCACACATGTGACCAGTTCTGAGGGCAGCAACCTTTCAACACTTTCTGTTGACACCACCACACCTTTGACCACTTCTACCCATGTCAGTTCATCTCCTACAACTCCTGAAGTCACCACCATGCCAATCTCTACTCCTAGTGAGGGAAGCACTCCATTAACCGCTATTCCTGTCAACACCACACGTGTGACCAGTTCTCAGGGTAGCACCCTTTCAACACTTTCTGTTGACAACAGCACACCTGTGACCACTTTTCCACGGGTCAGTTCATCTCCTACCACTCCTGAAGTCACCACCATGCCAATTTCAACTCCTAGTCTACGAAGCACTCCATTAACGACTATTCCTGTCAGCACCACACATGTGACCAGTTCTGAGGGCAGCACCCTTTCAACACCTTCTGTTGACACCAGCACACCTGTGACCACTTCTACCCAAGTCAGTTCATCTCCTACAACTCCTGAAGGTACCAGTATGGCAACCTCGACTCCTAGTGAAGGAAGCACGCCATTAACAAGTATTCCTGTCAGCACCACACGTGTGACCAGTTCTACGGGCAGCATGATTTCATCACCTTCTGTTGACACCAGCACACCTGTGATTACTTCTATCAAAGTCAGTTCATCTGCTACAACTCCTGAAGGTACCAGTATTCCAACCTCGATTCCTAGTGAAGGAAGCACTCCATTAACAAC